ACGGGTCTTTCTTGGTGTTATGATTTCTTATGACTACTTTCTCTCCTCTCACTCATTTTCTATGTCATGCTGCTGGCAGCAAATTCCAACCTCCCCAGCTATTCTGCAGTTGAAAGGTTGATACAGCAGACAACTGTTGTAAGACAATGCTTAAGTCAAGAATCCAATAAGGTTTGATCTTAGAACTTTATTTCGTGATCTGTTGCTTAGCATTCTGCGGACGGGGAGTATAGAGGAGTGAAAATGAGTGTTAAAAAGTGAGTTTTGATATAAGCTCAGATGATCCATCCCTGGTGCAACCCCATNGATCGATCCACTCCTCGTCGCAACCCACTCTCTCTCTCCCTACCCCCCCCCCCCCCCTTTTTTTTTCCCCTCTCTTCTTTAGGTTCATTTGACTTCTCATCAGTTGCTTCTCATCAGTTGGAACCTCCAATTATCTTGGTAGAAATTTGATTTTTTTTCCCGTCTCAGTACACTTCTTGGTCAAACTTTATCCGTTGTGCCTTCTCTTCTGGTTACACCCTTTCTTTGTGATTGCCCATTGCCCACTTTGTTCTTGGTCGTGCTACTTCCGCTAAATCATTTTTTTCCACAAGGACTATCTATTTGCTCCAAACTGCTTCACTTGAAAATTTAGCAGTTCCAAGATTCTTGATGTCTGATCGTGTTGCTATACTAACTTTTGATGACCGTAATGTTTGCAGGAAGGGCATCCACCATTTTCTTTGAAAGACTTTATGAAGAGCTAGGTGAGCCAATTTAGGAACATGTTTCCACTACTCACAGAAATTACTGCATCTTGAATTCCACTGGCAGCTGGATTCGCATTGTCTGCTTTCTGATAGCAAAAAATGGAATGGCTGATCATGGATTCTGTGACGTTTTTAAGACCTCATGAGTTAGCCTCAGGGCAACTGTGAGACATTAAGTTTTACTACTGAATACCACGATACCAGTTGTAGCGATTTGTTTATACTTAAAAATGTCATAAACGAATGCGCTAGTCAAATGCTCTGTTTACATGAAAATTCTTATGCACTCGACATTAGAAGAAGATTAGATCAGGGAGAAAATGTTCTAAATGTAAATAATTGACCTGTTAGTGGATTGTCTTAAATTTAAGAAAAAAATTAAAAAAAGAAGATAAATAGAGTTTTTTCCCAGTTTTATGGGATCTTAAGTTTACACACTCGATCATAGAACCTGAGCCAACCAAAACAAGTTGTTTCTCGTTAGTAAACCGAAGTGATACTAACTCTTGACCATCAAATAATCACAAGAAGATCCACATTGTGGCTAACTGGTGGTTTGCCGTCTCCACGACTTTCCATTTTTTCGTGCTGCTCCTCAAGGTTTCATCTCTGATCTCTCTTTTTTGGAGAAGATTTTCGTTACTTATACTCAACATTTTTGAGTTCATTATTCGAATGGTTTCTCAGTTATTTGAAATTATCTAGTAAATTTATATTTTATTTGCTTATAACAAAAATCAGTTAATTATTTTTAAAGCACTCAATCGATCACTCAACTATTTCCGCAACACTCAAAACTTTCGGTGGCAAAATACCTATATAAATTTTTCCATAGCACTCTATAAAATTTTAATGCTATTTAAATGATATTATTTCTCATTTTTTACTCTTTATTATGGATAAGTATAGAATAAACAAATTTTTTTTATGAAGTATAAAAAAAAAGGTTTTCATGCATATATGATGGAACAAAATAATTGAACAAAGTTGTCAAGCAAATATAATATATATTATAATTATATATTTATTTTAATTCAATATTTTTTTGGTACTACATGCATGGAATATATATTTTAAGAGCTTTTATTCTCTTTCACTTTCAACCGTGTAAACGATTTGTAAGTTTTATTGTTATTATCAAGATTATACAAACAAATTATTCTAATTAATTTTTTTTGGGGCATTTGCATCTATACCCGTTTTTTGTGCCACATTTTAACTTGTGCCCGCTTTGCAAAAAAAATTGCAAGCGTACCCGCTTTTTCACATAACTTCAGCCCACGGGGCTGAAGTTTTTCTTTTGTACTGGAAAACTTCAGCTGAAGTTTTTGTCTTTGTAACCGAAAAACTTAAGCAGTTTTCCAGCTTAAGTTTTCCAGTTATAAAATAAAAACTTAAGCAGTTTCCAGCTTAAGTTTTCTAGTTATACAATAAAAACTTAAGCTCTAGAGCTTAAGTTTTCCAGTTATAAAATAGAAACTTAAGCAGTTTCTAGCTTGAGTTTTCCAGTTATAAAATAAAAACTTAAGCAGTTTCCAGCTTAAGTCCAGTTATAAATAAAAACTTAAGCAGTTTCCAGCTTAAGTTTTCCAGTTATAAATAAAAACTTAAGCAGTTTCCAGCTTAAGTTTTCCAGTTATACAATAAAAACTTAAGCTCTAGAGCTTAAGTTTTCCAGCTATAAAATAGAAACTTAAGCAGTTTCCAGCTTAAGTTTTCCAGTTATAAAATAAAAACTTAAGCAGTTTCCAACTTAAGTTTTCCAGTTATAAAATAAAAACTTAAGCAGTTTCCAGCTGAAGTTCTTATTTTATAATTGGAAAACTTAAGCTCTAGAGCTGAAGTTTTCCAGTTATAAAACAAAAACTTCAGCTCTTTCCAGTTATAAAATAAAAACTTCAGCTCTAGTTTTCCAGTTATAAAATAAAAACTTCAAGTTTTTGTGTTGTAACTGGAAAACTTCAGCTCTAGAGCTGAAGTTTCTATGTTATAAAATAAAAACTTCAGCTCTAGAGCTGAAGTTTGCCAGTTACAAAATAAAAACTTCAGCTAGAGCTGAAGTTTGCTAGTTATAAAATAAAAACTTCAGCTCTAGAGCTGAAGTTTTTGTTTAGTAACCTGGAAACTTCACCTCTAGAGCTGAAGTTTCTCAGTTATAAAGGGAAGCTGAAGTTTTTTAAAAAGTGGGTACGGATGCAAACAAAAAGACAAAGCGGCTACAGGTTAAAGAGGGGCGCCCAAATAGGGCGCCCCGTGCAATTTTTACGATGTAGAAGGAGTGTTTGTTCCAATGAGGTTTGTGTGGCTCCATATTGCGCAAGAGTATCTGCAATGCGGTTCTGCTCCCTGTATGTGTGCTTGACAATTGGATTACCCAGTTGTCAGAGCAAGTACCTGCATTCCACTAATATTGATGAGTAATGTAAATTGTGATGAATTAGCATCGAGATTACCTCTGTAGAATCCACGTTGATTTCTAATGGAGTGAAATGGTGATGCCATTCTAATTGTAATCCCTGTTATAAAGCACATAGTTCCATATATGTTGAGTTCCCTGTGGGTCGTGTGCCCATGAATCCAAGTAGCCAATGGCCCATATCATTTCTGAAAATGCCGCAAATGCTATTGCGGGATGGAGGGCCCTTAGAGGATCCATCCGTGTTTAAATTAATAGTGCCCAGAGTAGGAGGGTACCACTTGACATACATGGGTGTGGTTGTTGATTTTTGCGATTGCTTTTGAATGATATAGTGATATTCAACTGCTTGTGAAATCAAGTGCTGGATATTTGGGGTGGGTAATTTACGTTGGAAGATGAAGCAATTACGAAGGTTCNATACACAATTATACAATAATGTATAAGTGTGTATAAATAGTGGTTATACAATATTTATACCAGAACACATCTTATGTTCAATATTACACCTCTATTTCAGTATCAAAATATCAAAAGAGAGTTTTTCAGAGGAAGTTAGATCTGAAACTTAAAGAGGAGAGAAGATGGAGATGGAATTGTTTTATAAAAGAAGATAAAACTGGAACATCATCTAAAGAACTTGAAAATTGTCTGAATACAACACCAGACCTCTTTTTCATTCTCCGATGACTTCACTGACTTTATCGTCGACCTCTTTATCTTGAAAATTGAAGGAAAAAAAGGGTAAAGGATGTTATCCACCGTCATATTTATTTTCCGATGACATCGTTAACTTTTTCGGCGACCTCTCGATCGATATCTTTACTCTGAAAGTTGAAGAAAGAAAAAAGAAGGATAAAGGATGCTGTCGCTAGGTTAACCGATGAAAATGGGTTATGCATTATCTGCAAAATGGGCTATGCCAGGTAAAGTTCCAAAACATGAGCTATTTTTGGTTCTAAAATTGGGCTGACTGACATATGATGTAATTTTTTTTTTTAAATTGTACTCACTTATTTTGTTCATCAATTTCAGGTACTTAAACTCTTATTTTATAATTTAAACATAATTTTTAATATAATAATTTTAAAAAATTACTCATTGCAATAAGGTACGCGCGCAACACGCGTACGTTAAGACTAGTTATATAGTAATTTATATAGAAGGGTGAAGGGATTGAGTTAGTTTCAGTGGGAGAAATTCAAAAATAGCCAGATTTACAAGTGATCATTCAAAAATAGCCACAGTTTCAAAAGTAATTGAAATTTAGCCACTTTTCATGTAAAGATAAATCTGAACGAAAACACTGTTCAAAATTCGAAAAAATACTCCAGTATAATATACTGGAACTCCAGCATAAGTATACTGGAGTTCCAATATAATGTACCGGTCCAGCATAATATACTGGAGATTGGAGTACATTATATTGGAACTTTCCGCGTGTTGGAGTTCCAGCATAATATGCTGGAAGTTCATACACAGGTGCAACGATCTCCAGTATATTATGCTGGAACTTTTCGTGTTGCAGTAAAATAGTGGTTATTTTTCAGTGACTCTGTAAACACTGGCTATTTTTGAATGACCAGTCCAAAAACTGGCTACCCCGTGCTATTTTAACAGTTTCAGTAGCATTTGATAAACTAGGCCGAATTTTCTATAATATATCAACAGTCCTAATTATAATATATCCAGTCCAATATTTAAAGGAAGCTGCATTAATCCCAAACAATATTTTCTTACTAAAATTACAAACTATATTTATGTATTTCTTTTTTAAATTACTGAGTAGTTACGGAAAGGAAAAAAGAAAAAGTAGAAGCTGACGAAAATAAAAAGCGGAAGTTAATCCTCTTTCTTCTATCCTCTCTATATTCTGGCGCCCAACACATTTTACCACTACTATGGCGTCTATGCTCTCTCACTCTTCTTCTTCCTTTCTGAACCTTAACTTTACCAATGATTTATCGCTCTCCTTCTCTGCTACCTTCTCCCCTCCCTTGCCACAATTCCCAAAAAGGTATGATTTTTAGCTTTATCTTGGACTATTCCACATTTGATAATTTTGATTTTTAAAAAAGTGTAATATAAATGTTGCTTGTTTAAAAGACTACGACTTGGGCAGTGTAATTGTACTAAGTTAACAATTTATGCTTCATTTCAGTTAACATATGAGAATAATTTTCCAGCTTTTATCTTTTGTATAATTTAAGGATTTGCAGCTTTTGTACTCTTGGTGTAAGCCTGTAACTTCAAGCTGAATCATGATGTAAAGAATACCTTTGAGAATTTTTATAATTCCCTCCATATTTAAAGGGAATTTTTTGTCCTTTTTTTTGCTGTACATATTAGCACCTTCTTTGTGCAAATAAATGAGATTCTTGTCAAAAAAAGTAAAAATTATGCTTCAATTTTGTTAATTTATACCGTGAACTTCTGCTGAGGTATGAATATTCTGTTTGACTATTCGCGATTATGGATGGATATCATGGGTTTGATTGTTTCTGTCGTTTGTTTTGGTTAGCTTGTATTCCAATACATTCTTTTTTGTGTTCTTGTTGCTATAATGTATATTGGTCCTTTCTCTACAGTGCTTCTCAAAAATGGAACAATAATGAAAATTATAGAAGCTATACTGTAAAGTGTGCACTTGCAAAAGCTAGAACGCCTCCTTCGCCCGCTTCTGATGCATTCATAAGAGAACCCCACAAATACTTTGATGAGGTGGTTATCACAGTTCGTGCTGGAGATGGAGGGCATGGTGCCGTTCTTAGTATGCCCAACGTTAAAGCTCCATCTAAGTCACAAGGAAAATTTGACAGAGAAAAGACTAAGAGGAAACCCTCTTATAAAAGGGACTTTGATGGCTCATTAATCCTTCCAATGGGGGGACATGGTGGCGATGTTGTCATTTATGCAGATGAGAGCAAAGATACACTGTTGGAGTTTCACAACAAGAGCAAGCACAAGGCGAAGCGTGGGGGAAATGTTGATGCCATGGGCGTGTTAACATCTTACCTGCAAAATGGACTTGCTGCACCAACATTGCGAATTCCTGTTCCACTAGGTTTGTTCTTTCTCTAGCTCTCTAGTGTAATAGCTCTAGTATGCATGGGAAACTCCAGCGACAATTAGAGTTATGGATGGTTACCCTGAGATTATGCATCGGGATCTTCTGTTTTCTCTACTTAGACACATCATTTGGAGCTGTTTAAGAATGGTGATATTTGTATTTTGAAAGGCATATAGCTGTGTGATGCCAATTGTTTTCATCTCATGCTTTTCCATATTTTCCAGGTACTGTTGTCAAACATAAAAGAGGAAAGTTTTTGGCAGATCTAGCTAATCCAGGTGATGAAGTTCTTGTTGCAAGGGGAGGACAAGGAGGGGTAAGAAATCTTTGGGTCTTAAATATAATTACCATGCTTGGCATTTCATGCTTCTCTTTGTTGTTTTAAGTAGTCAGTATCTTACTTCTACACTGTCCGCAACCAAATATAGGAAAAAGAAAAAAAAGAAAAGAAAAAAGGAGCGAATTATTTCACTTTTTCTCGGATGTGCTCTTTGGTGCTTCAAGTATTTCATTGCGAGTAATAGATACTGTATCACTTATTTGGAACTGCATGCCTGATCTTTAATTCTGTACTACGTGGTTGTGGCAGATTAGCTTGTTGGAAGTTCCGGAGCACAAAAAGAAACAAATGACGACTTTAACCACAAATATGATGAGAGATGACAGCGATAAGGTTCGTATAAGCCTAATCTTTAAGAGACATCTGAATTTGATATAATCCTTTCTTCATGTCTGAACCTTATGATGCATGACGAGGAGCTTAGGGAAAATTATTTTATGTACTGAGCTGATACTAGCTTTCTAGTGTTAGTTTCATGTAATCCGCTAGGGGAGTCCTGTAGACTGTCATGCTATATGCTATGCTGCTGCTACTGGCAGCTTACTGCACTTAGTGTCAGTTTTGCGGGCACTTTCAAGTGACTGTATCTGGATAAGCTAACATGCTAAACTTACTTGGTGAACAGAAAGAAATGGGCTGAGAACCCAGTATGAATATTGGTAGTAGTTTTTGTACTTAATACGCTGTAGCTTTCTTAAGCAATTAGCAGCCTTCCTGCATGTTCGCAGTTGGCATGTGTCACACCTCCTTTTTCACTACACCCGCAAGGGTGTAAAGGAGTTTTTCCAATTAAAGGACAATCGGAACGGGATTTATTATTAATATTCAGAGTCGCCACTTGGGAGATTAATGGTGTCCCAAGTCACCGGTTGAATCCCGATCCGAGGAAATTATGACTCTGTTAACAGTCCGCGAACCAGAACTCTGAGTAAGGAATTCTGTTAACCCGGGAGAAGGTATTAGGCACTCCCGGATTCCGTGGTTCTAGCACGGTCGCTCAACTGTTGTATTTGCTTTTATCTGATTTTAAAACCTATTCTAACCTATGTGCCTTTTATTTTAACCGCTTTTACTTTATGTCTTTTTAATAAGGATTGCAACGTCGTGAAAATGTATCTCGAACCACGTTACACCAGTGCACCCGTGGCTTTTGACGCATTTCGACTCCGTTGAGATTTAGATTTAGGTCACATAAATGTACGCCCGAGTTTAGGGAGGTAATATTATTAAATGTCGGACATGAAGCAACTAGCGTATTATTAACTTTGTGGGAGGCCATGAAATTCGCTAAATGGCTCTTCCCGAGGTCTAAATATTTTAAATATGATTAAAAGGGCCACGCAATTTGTGATTTTATTTGGCGCGGCGCACCTCGAATATTTTAAAGGATATCCTAAAAGGACTATAATTCTTCTATTAATGACTATATCTATAACGCAATTTAATTTCATTAATACTTGCCTGAACGGTCCAAAACCCGTACCAGAACCTATGGTGGACTGGGTGTTCGTCACATTGGGCCTCAATCTTAGAATCAGCCCAGATCCTGAGAGGCCAACTAAACATTCAGGGCTAACGCCGGCCCAAAGGAGGGGCTAATTACAACTGGGCGGGGTTGCACATCAGTAGAAACTGGTGCCCACATTACTCAGAAATAGGCTGTTAAGCCTTGATCCGTTAATAGACCCCAATCAAAACTGGAATAATAATACGCTTTTACTATCCAATAGACCCCAATCAAGTTGTTCAAATTGTATCTAATACTTGCTGCAAATAATATTAGAAATAGAGTCGGGATGACTAAACTAAGGTGATTACTAATAATATGGGGATATCAAACTCAAGATATTCAAGTCCTTATTCCATTCCAACTTCAACCTGTCAGGCTGGTATGATACATTATTCTACTAACACTTGTTCATGCAAACAACTGCAATATGCAGTCCTATTGATACAAACTAAAAAAAAATTGAAACAGTCCAATCATATCAGCCTAACACCGCCCAGTTCTGATTACAGAAATTAAACATTGGATGCTAACATGTGAATTGACATAATCAGAATTCAAATCCATTGCACAGTCCAGATATTCAGTCCAATTATACAGTCCTTAGTTTGATTACATACAAAAATAGAGTTCTAATCAATTACAAGTTAAAAACAAAGGAATTCAACAAGTGAGGCCTGATCAGTACTTCATTTCATTTCAAAAGCCTGGGAAATACAAGATGTGTACCTGAAGGTCAAAAACAAATGGGAGAAATGGTCAGCACAGCAACAACAGAAACCAGAATTTACTAAGCAACCACAAGCTCGAATTCAACCAGAAACTAAACTCCAACCCAAGTAGATAGTTT